TCTTTGAAATTTTTTTCACAGGTAGGCAGGGTGGTTAAGAAGGCATTTAGCACACTTGCCTTCATTGCTCAGACCTTTGAGTACAGGACTTGGGACATCATTGGTGAGGCCTCTTCTGGAGTACTGTGTGCAGTTCTGATCACCCTGTATTAGGAAGGATATTATTAAACTGGAGAGGGTTCAGAAAATATTTACCAGGATGCTCCCAGGAATGGAAGCTTTGAGATATAAAAATAGACTGGAAAGATTGGGACATTTTTCACTGGAGCATGGGAGGTTGAGGGGTGACCTTATAGAGGTTTATAAAATCATGAGGGGTGCAGAGTAGGTGAATGATAAGAGTCTTTACCCTAGGGTGGGGTGTTCAAAACTAAGAGGTATATTTTTAAGGTGAGACAAGAAATATTTAAAAAGGAATTAAAAAGGAAAAGAGATTTGAAATAAAGGAGCCTGAGTTGAAAAATCTGACAGCCTTCCAGTAATTCTATGAGATCATTCTATCAATATTGAAGTTTTCTGTCAGTAATGTACCCTTTTGTTCTATAAATTTCATATTTTAGGTAAAGAGTTTTGATGTATCTGTGCAGTTAGACTTTATACCATAGTAAGTGAAATAGCCAGAATGGGGGAAGTTTGTTTCGGTTAATTGCATGTCAGAAGATTGAAGACACAAGAACCCATCTGGTGTCTTCAAATAATAAACTGACAATGCAATGTAATATTGAAGGATGCCTTTGGATGAGCTGGCAAAAGTGAGTGTTAACAAGCTTCTCCATTGCCTGTTAAAGATCTCACATCACTGCTTGATAAAGAACAGGAAGTTCTCCATGTGTCTGCAATTAACATCAAACAATGATTATTTATCTCATTGCTGTTTGTGCACGGTTGCTGTGTGCAATTGGCTGTGTGTGTACATTAACAGCGATTGCACTTCAAAAATAACCTTTTGTACATGAAGTGTTTGGAGGCTTTTCTGATTTGACAAGGAATTTCATTATCTTAGTAACAATGATTTTCATTAATGACTAGCAAAACATTGGTTGAGAAGTTTAGAACTAGGGGAAACTACCTAACACTTCGATTCAAAGCTTTGAGGAATGAAGTTAAGAAACCTTGCCTCACACAAGAAATTTAAAATTCTCTTGGTAAAATGGCTGTTGATGTTACGTCAATTATTAATTCTGAACCGAATGTAACAGATTTTTGTAAAGCACACACATTAAGGGATATGGAACAAAACCGTCTGGGATTAGATCACAGATCAACCATGATTTCAATGAATGAGAGGACAGGCTTAAAGGGCTCAATATCCTGCTCAAACATTCCTTAAATACAAGGATCAAAACTTCATCATAATTAGCAACTAGCCTAACTCATCTCCACTCTATTCTCACAATGAATGTTTTGAATTAAAATTAGTGCACAAGATTAAAGTTGTTTAGCTAAGTTTTAATTAACATGCAGTTATAGCAGGTAGAGAGGGAAGGAAAACTACGTGCTAGTTAGCTTGACATGAATAGCCTGGAGAATCTATTATTTGACCACAGAGGCACAGCACTGGAGAATCAGTTTCGTGGAAGCACGAATTTATGAAAGAAATTATTTGACAAATCTGCTGAAATTGTTTGTAGTTTTCATTAGCAGCACAAATAAGGTGAACCAGTGAACGCAGTGTGTTGTATTTTCAAAAAAGCACTCGATAATGTGCCATGCAGCAAGTTATTGCACAAAATTAGGCCTTGCAGACAAGCATTATATATTAGTGACATTGAACATTGGTTAAAAAACAGAAAATGATAGGAAGAAACAAGTGTTGTTCAGCTCAGCAGGCTTTAACTAGCTAAGCACTGAGACCTAAGTACTTAGGTCTCAGGATATTATCTACATCAATGACACAGATAAGGGGATTGAGTGTGATATATCAAGTTTGCTACAATACAAGGTAGGTGGGAAAATAAGCTGTGAGGAGGATGCAAAGAGCCTGCAAGAAATATAGACAGGTTAAGCGAGTGAGTAAAAGCATGGCAGTTGGAACGTGATGTGGAGAAGTGTGAAATTATTCACTTTGAAAGGAAAAATGTAGGAAAGAAATTGAATTATTTAAATGAAAATGACAGCAAAAGTTTGGTATTCAGTGGGACCTGTGTATCATCGTACACTGATCATAATAACCTTTATTGCAAACGGGACTAAGACAGTCAGAAAATCTTACTGCAAATATGAATGGTCTTGTGGCGTCATAACTGGAGTACAGTATACAAATGTTCATCTCTTAAAAGGCTGTACTTGTTATTTTTGGGGAGGAAGAGATTCAGAGAAATTCAGAAGGAATCCTTCCCTGAACTGGATCATTCCGAACAGGGAGGGGGAGGTTTGCTCATAAACTCAGAATAATGGATTAGACATGTAGGATCAAGAAAGGAGGGAGAGTTTTGTTTACCCAAAAGGTTAGGAATCTTTGCAATTTTCTACCCTAAAAAGTTGTGACGCTCAGTCATTACGCATATTATGGACAGAAATTTTTGGAAACTAAAGGATGTGAAAATGGGGCAGGTATGTGGAGCTCAAGCAGCAAATCAATTATGATTGCACTGAATAGTGCAGCAAGCCCAAGGAGCCTAATGGCCTACTCCTGTCCCAGTGTCAATTCTCATTCTGAAGAATTATTCCTGAGCGCACATAACGATAGGAATCTTCAAATGGCAGCATTTGACTCCCATCAATCTAATGTGAGTGAAAATAAAACTCCCAAGATTGTGTGGCCAGAGGAGAATACAAATTGCTATTTGATCCATGCCATTTTAGAGTTCTAAAGGGAAGAAAATGTCAATATTTTATAAACAAAACCACTGTGCGTCTGTTCACACTGTGTCTGTGAAGCATATACAAATGCACAGCACCATGACATCACTCACTCACAGTCAGAATCTGCTGAAACAGATGGAGAAATCTCCACTTGCAAATCTTTTAACGAGCTTGAACTTCAAAAAATACACGCTGGTGTTATCTTTCTAAAGAAACTGTGGAATTCCCGTTCTCCCTACCATCACCCATTTGAAGACGCTATTGGACATTAATGCCAATCTAAAGTAACCCAGCAACAATGTAGACAATGTAGAATACTTCAATTTTAATGCAGTCGGCCAAGACTCAGGGAGGAGAACTCCTGCCTCTGAGTTAGACTAAATTCCACTCCACAGACCCGAGGACAAAAACTGAGGCTGACACTCATGAGCACTTGTGAAGGTGTGCCATGTTTAAGAGATCTTAAACTGATGTCCCATTAGCCTTTACAAGGGAACATACAGATCCTATTGCACTATTCCAAAGAGCAGGGGACTGAGTTCTCCCTGAGTCCTGGTCAATATTTATCCCCCAATCATCACAGAAATAGATTATCTCACCATTATAATGTTTTTTGGGGAGTTTGCTGTGGACAACTCCACAGTAGCTGTACAACACTTATGATGTCCTGAGATTATGAAAGGCAACATAGAATTCGAAGTTTGGACAGCAACATAGCAATCACAAAATGCAAGTCAGATTTCCTAGTTGGCGAATATCAACTGATGACAGTTGCTGTCAATAAGCTGGGCACGGAGCTGGCTTGCTTCTTCCTTCTATTTCAACTGAAAATATCAAACCTGTGGAAAGCTTCAGGGCTGATTTAGAAACGCTTGGGTATGTTCTACTGAATTACAGCACTGGGATTGTGATGTAGGGGTTGAGCTTCATCCTGAAGAGTCACGACTACTCAAATAATCTCCCCTTCTATCCAGTACAGACCGCATCTGTGCAACCCACTGCACAGGGTGAATCTAGTCGTCAAAAAAAATCTCTAGTAAGCTCAGAGCAGCAGGGAGCAGGTGTAATCTGTACACTCACCAACCATCACTTCAATCAGATTGGAATGCCTCTCCTCAGGACTGGGAAACAGATAATGTGTGAAATAGATTGAAAGGGCCAGATTTGCCAACGAACCCAAACCACACGTGGGATGTGCGGGAACAACAGTACGGTTTCCTTAGGTGCTGTTTCTTATATGGTAATCTGTGAAACAACCTGTCAGTCTGCCATTCACAGTACCACCATCTGCTGATAGCACTGCTCTTCAACATGTTAAAGCCGAAACTAACTTTTCTATTTTTGTTACACACACACACACATATACACAGAGGTTCAGTGCTTCCGCTTAAAGGCAGGAAAGGGTGGGGTTAGGAATGGCTTTAAGACGCTAACCTCGCAAAAGAAAAGTTGCACGTTGTTCCAAAAAGGAAAAACCATCTGATTCAGCAGTTGCCTTTTGAAAAAAAATTGTGGCAAGACGATAAATAAAATTAAAATCTGAAGAAACAGAAAAAAAAGTGGATACAATTTTAATTGAGGCGCGCTGATAGGAAACAAGTTCAGGACGAATTTAAAAAGGGAGCATCATAGAAAGAGAGAACGTCAAACATATGGACATTTTGTAACGCTGTCTTATTAGAAGTGAAACTAGGAGGATGATGTTCAAATGATATTGTTAAAAGTCATTGATAAACTGGTCGCCTTTTTGCTTACACGAGGCTCAACCTGGTAGGTTCGGAAAATTGCTGTGAAGGATGGCACCTGCATCCGGCTGTGTTAACGAAAATGCAATAAAAAAATACAACAGAGCACCACTCCAGTTCGTCTAATTACTGATTTGTAGAAAAGGCTTTGCACTTGATATTAAACAACTAAGCGGCGTTGCGCCTCATTGTACACTTTCCAATTACGATCGCAGCTGTTAGATTAAGTGGGCACTATCAGACCAGTATAACAAGTTAGCAAATTATTCACATTTAACGGAGGTGATTCTGACTGCACCCCGCTTAATCTTCACATAGAGCATTACAGGAGCGCCACAAGTAAACTCTTATAGACACTGCTGCAGATACTGTCCTGAGCTCAGGACTCTGTAAATACTCCAGGCTGACACTTAAAGACACTGTTGCTACTGTACCCGAGGGAACACCCACCTTGACACTGGAATCCCTGCTTTCCGAATCCCCTGTTAAAACAAAGACAAACAATGACCATTAATGACATTTGAAGATGTGCATTGCATGTCAAGCAGTGCTCTAGTTTGCTTATGGACGAGGCTATGCTCTCTCACCAGATAAAGTCAGTGCAGTGGCTGCAGAATGTGGGTTGCTTGAAGAAGCGAGCGATGAATTTATGGTCCTTGACTTCGTGAACGTTTTTCTGCCTTAGGGCACCTTTGCGGGCGAAGCGAATGGTGTTTTCCTCGCCCTCCATCGCATACACATTGTCAGACATCCTTCAGCACCCGCTCCAAGGCTGCACCAGCAAACAGCAGCCCGCAAAACAAAAAGCAGCGACTCGGCGCTGCCTTACCTGTGTTGTTGTTGGTGTGAGCCAAACGGGTAGAGAGCGAGCGGCACAGTGAGAAGCCCAGGCTACGTCTGCTTCACACCAGCACCACGTCAGGATGCTCCGCCTCTTCCAAATTCAAGCCTCTCGCTGTCTATTTACATAAGCAGTGTTAGCAAGCCGCTCTCCCAAAGGCGCGCACACACACACATATAGTGTCTCTGCCGGTCTCGGATCTATTCTATAAACCCTGAAAGCAGCAACCTGGTAGGAGCTGAACAACCACCCCCCGCCCCCAATTATTGCAAAGCCCTCAACAAGTAGCTCATGCAGACAGTTTCTCATCCCCCAGTCACAGCCCCGAAGGAAATGGTACATCTTTAAGATCTTATTAGTGGCAGCAGGCGGTGAGATTGAGCGCCAAGTAATCTTCTTGCGGCGTTCTTCCATTTTCCGATCTCTGAAGAAGTGGCAGTTCGGAGACAGACTCTTGTTTTCTGATGATTGACTGACTGTCAAAAGGGCCCGAGGAGAGGAGATAAAACCATGGAATTGCTTTAGCGAAACAGCGGTGAGGCTGAGGGCACCGTACACCCCGTCAGGGTGATATTTCATGCATTTGCAGTGACCACCCGCCAACTTTGGCATGTGACTCAAGGCTAGAAACCACCTTGCCGTATGTTATTTCTTATTTCCAACGTCGACATAGAGCTGAGGAGGTTCATTGTGAGAGCTCCTGGCAGCAAGGTTTATGACCCCCGCTGTGGAAATATCAGACCCCCCGCCCTCCCTTAATTATGTCCTATTCTCTTTCTTCACACTGGAGCTGCTTCCTTTATTCGCTTTTCTAGCTCATTCCTTGAAACGTGTGTATTTATTCATTCCCTTTACCTAACTAACATAAGGCCCGGCGGTTTCCTCCGTGGGCGCAGTCGGAAAGTGTGCTAAAAAAAATCCCCCAAACGAATTATTATGAATTTAGAGCACAAAATCAGCGCAATATCCGCGCAGAGGTAAAGGGAGACTGGAGCTGGACTATAGAGGGGTTTCAGTGAGGAGTCTGAGAGCACAGCCAGGGGGACTGCGGGCTCACAGCACTCCGCTGTCCTGCAGGTTTGGAAAATTCATTTCGCACGTTCTGCTGAGAATCTACATTGTCTGAATCTTTTCCGCGATTCTTTACAAATCAATGACTCTCTGAACAGATTTGTTTGGAAAACCAGGGTGACCCGCCGAATGAAGTGAAGGGGACCACACATAACTGCCCCGGCCTTCCTGCCAGAGATGTTTGGAGTGCTCAGAGGCTGCTCCATTACCCGGAGAAAGGCACTCAACAAACCCCGGCAAACTACTATCCTCAATCCAAGCAAGGAGGCCGGCAGAATGTCTTCCAGAGAGCAGGAAGGAGTGGGAGTGTAGGGGGAGGGAGGAGTTTGAGTGTAGGGTTAGGGAGGAGTGTCAGAGTAGAGTGAGTGAGGAATGTGAGTGTAGGGTTAGGGAGGAGTGTGAGCGTAGGGTTAGGGAGGAGTGTGTGTAGGGTGAGGGAGGAGTATGAGCGTAGAGTGGGGGAGGAATGTGAGTGTAGGGTGGGGGAGGAGTGTGAGTGTAAGGTGGGGGAGTAGAGTGAGGGATGAGTGAGAGTGTAGGGTGGGGGAAGACTGTGAGTGTAAGGTGGGGGGGATTGTAAGTGTGAGGTGAGGGATGAGTGTGAGTATAGGGTGAGGGACGAGTGAGAGTGTAGGGTGGGGAGGAATGTGAGTATAGGGTGGGGGAGGAATGTGAGAGTAGGGTGCGGGATGAGTAAGAGTGTAGGGTGGGGGAAGAGTGTGAGTGTAGGGTGAGGGACAAGTGAGAGGGTAGGGTGGGGGAGGAATGTGAGTGTGAGGTGAGGGTAAGAGTGGGAGTATAGGGTGAGGGAGGACTCAGAGTAGGGTGAGGGAGGGGTATGAGCTCAGGGTGGGGGAGGAGTGAGAGTAGGGTGAGAGAGGAATGTGAGTGAAGAGTGAGAGAGGAATGTGAGTGTTGGGTGAGGGATGAGTGAGAGTGTAGGGTGGGGGAAGAATGTGAGTGTAGGGTGAGGGAGGAATGTGAGTGTAGGGTGAGGGAGGAATGTGAGTGTGAGGTGAGGGAGGAGTGTGAGTGTAGGGTGAGGGAGGAATGTGAGT